GTGGCCTTCCGATGGTTTCTGACTCGCTTTCGCTCGGTCAGATACCATCGGAAGGACACTCGTTTCGTATAATTCGTATGTAATGAGACCGAGTGCAGTATTATCTATTTATTACCCACGTGGTCAACGTATGGGTAGTTGCATACTAATCTCGTACGTCACACGAGTGTCGTATCGCGTTGACCTATGTCGTAACGACTTGACCTGAGATTCTAACGATTTTATTGGATAACTGATGACCTCTCAATTAGGTCACGTTGTGACGTAACTCTTTTTTATTCATAACAAACACGTGAATTCATTTATTCTACAACTTAAATGCATTGTGGGAATGTAAACATTGCGAACGTTGCCGTGTCGCTGTTTAATTGTGAGTCGAACTGAGACATTATATCTGTCGAAAAACATAAACGCAATGTTTCCACCAGTGATGTTAGCCGAATGAAGCAACTGGAAACCAAGAAACGAGGTGCAACGGAGTAGTTTACTGTAGGAGGCTGTACGAGGCGACGACAACTGGCATGCATCGTGACGTCGGTTGACATGGCAGTGACGTCAATAGTGTGACGTCATGCAAAATTGTACTACTGTACTAAGCTGGTTCCCGGCTAAGCTGGTTCCCGGCTCCCTTTGCGCGCGCTAACGTTCGACAAAGCTAGGAGCCGGTATAGGCTGCCATTTAAAACGCTCTGCTCGTTTATTTGACGTCACATCCGGATTGGTCAATCTGGATTCCGTCGCGATGAAAGATCTGGGAATCATAAGACTTGAAAAGTGAACGTTGTGCGAGAATTGCGCTTACGTGGTCCTGGATCTGCGCATGGCTATAAAATTACATAGAAATGTAAAATATTAAATTTCCTATCCTTTGGTATTAAATATAAGTGCACCTACCTCGGCGGTTTGAGAAATAGACACTGTTATATGTTGTCCAAATCTTTGTTGTGCGTTAAAAAGCAGTAAATATCTCCGCTTTTGATTGTGTATTGATGAAAGCACTGTGCTACGAATTTTTTAATTTGGCATCGTTACGGAAAGTGTGAAAGTGTGAAAATACAGCCTGATATCTGAACGACATAAGTATATATGAAATGTGTGTGTGTGCTTATGCATAACGGTATACGCTCAATCTTAAAAATGACTCGCAATAAATGTCGAAAAAGGATTTTGTTCTATGACGTCAAACGACGACAGAGAGGCCATGCACGTATAAAGATAAGGGGTCATAACTCCCACATGCTTAACACTAGGTCAATGTAACTCTGAATACTTGGAGAGAATTTTTGTGTGGATATGGACGCTATATTTTCGTTATGGTTTGTTCACCATGAACCAAACTATACTAGTACAAAGTTCCACAATGTGAGCGGATATGTTTTGATAGTTGCACAATTCATAAGAAAAGATGACAAAGTACTACATGAGAAAGCACGTAATAGCGATTTGGATGGCCCTATCTGATACATAATTTAGTTCTTAGATTCCCATATTCTCCTGTTAGTGTAGATGTATTTTGACTAATTTTGCATCATTATTAATAGAGTACTAGCCATATCTTCAAATGTAATGAAATTACTGAAAATAGTACCACTGGATGCGGAAGTATTTTGTGACGCAGTTTCATAGGATCTGAAAAGTGAACGTTGCATTGGATCTACGGTCCTCCGACTATAACATTATGTTCAGATGTAGAATACATTTAGATCTGCTGACACTTGTCTAAAGGTACGAGGTTTTGTATACAACACCAACATTGTCAATTTCCTATTAAAAGCATGTTCAAACCAACTAATTATCAAACGTTCATAAATCTATAAAGTACACAGTATAAGATCTGAATTGTGATGATTTGTTTACATTATAAAACAAGTAGAGTTTGCTGCGCCTTCGTTTTCACACCTTATCTATATTGCTCAATTTCATATAACCACTTTGTATTGATGACAAGACCATATTGGCTTAAAAAGCCTACCCATGTTGATTTAATATTTGGTGAAAATTGATGAACAAAGAGTTTGCCGCGGTGTTGATGCATCGCCTCAAAAGTTTTCTTGTTGCTGTACTAAAGTGTCTTCAGGACACATTCATCATTTTCTAAGTGAATAATTCAATACTTATATACCGCCACAAAATATTATAAATTCATTTTCCGCCTTACTACTGATGTTGTGCCAGTGTTGGCACACCTACCCACTCTAAGACACACATACCTTTCTAACGACATCCGCGAGGAAAGTTTAGAATATTTGCAATACGAGATTTAATTTGTATGCGTGCCTCGGCCGATGTCCACATGTATAAATTACCTGCATATTTGTGTCGTTCATACATCAGAGATGATTTTATTCGCTCACAGTTTTCTGACAAGCTCATAATAAAAATCTTTGTCGCATAGGGAAATTTGGGTGTGCATTTAAAAAGCGAAGGGCCTTTCACGCAAATAAAACGAATATTTACGTTTACTATTATTTTTCGTGAATATTGATATCAAATATGTACAATAACAGAAAGAAAGATTTTGAAAAAGAAGTTTCCAGAAAATATGAACAATTTATATTTTCAAAGGTCTTTCAAGCGCCTGCATGACCGTTTTTTTGGAAACGATACAAAATGTGTTTTGGACGTCTTCCGATGAAGGACAGCGCGGCCGTCTAAAAATAGCACCCAATGGAAAATGACATAACATTGTCAATGTTGGCTTTTCATAGGCCTTCTCAGCCATCGTCTCTTTGGCCTGTACCGGCTCGTATATTGCGATATGCGAGACGGGGCCCAGCTTACTACAGTACAAAACTCTTCCGCAACCTCTTTATGAAACCGGTTTCTGTTTGAAACCAAAAACATAACAAAAATACGCTATTTTGTCAATTTAAATGCATGTAAGACGTGGGTAATAAATAAAATACCACACTCGGTCTCATTACATACGAATTATACGAAACTCGTGACCTTCCTATGTTATCTGACCTCGCTTTCGCTCGGTCAGATACCATAGGAAGGACACTCGTTTCGTATAATTCGTATGTAATGAGACCTCGTGTAGTATTCTCTATGTATGTAATGAGACCTCGTGTAGTATTCTCTATTCTAAGATGCCTAGCGGTTAGAACAATCGAAAATAAAATACATTATCAGACAATAAAGGTATAAACATAGAGAGAAAACCGGTTTCTGGGTTACATCTTCTTTTTCATTCTCGAGTACAACGTTTCAGGAAGTTCTGGCCCCATCATCAGGTAAACTGAACAGTAACACCTGATGATGGGGCCAGAACAAGCCCTGAAACGTTGTACTCGAGAATAAAAAGAAGATGTAACCCAGAAAAAATCTCTATGTTCATCAAATATCATCTTCTAAAATGCCAATCAAGCATCTAATAAAGGTATAGTTTTTTGATGACGTAACAATTGAATGACGTTATCCCGTCACTGCGCCATTCTAGTGTGCCCCCTCGTAATCGAAACATTTTACATTACGTCACAATGTAAGCGACGTCACGATGCATGTCAGTTGTCATCGCCTCGTACGGCCTCCTACAGTAAACTACACCGTTACATCCAGTTTCTTGGTTTGGTGTTGCTTCACGCAGCTAACATCACTGGTGGAAACATTACGTTTATGTTTCACGACGGTTAAAATGTGTCATTTCGACTCACAAGTTTTCAGCGACACGGTAACGTTCGTAATGTTTACATTTCCACAATGCAGTTGTGGAATGTCGCTTGACTACTCAACTTCCTCTGGATGTACTGATCTAAACTTAAGCTGGTAGTAGAAATGCAACGTTCATATTGCCCCATATGGTTTACGTTAATGACAGATGTAATTAAAATAATTCAGAGAAGATATTTAATCCGAACGTAAACCGTCATCAAACTGTTATCATTTGTTTTTTTCTGGTAACGTTCGTCTTAACGTAGGGGGCAGACACATCAATAGAACAGCGCGCCAGTTAGCCCTGTGCGAGGATTCTTAATTTAGGTCACCGACACCGTCGTTTGTTTTCTGCCTTAAATTAATCGTAATTATCTTTAGAAAGTATTAAATTTGGCATCTTAGAAAAGAAATACACTTCGCCCTACCACCATGTATAGTGTAATAAAACACTGACTGACTTACTGACTGACTGAGTTTAGTTTTACGCCGCTTTTAGCAATATTCCAGCAATATCACGGCGGGGGACACCAGATATGGGCTTAATAATAAAACACACTTTCGCCCTGATATAGTTCAGGGCAAAAGTGTGTTTTATTACACTATACATGGTGGTAGAGCGAAGTGTATTTCTTAATTAACAGTAGAGTTTGTACAGTGCCCTGACAATGCTATGACGTCATGAACTTGATGACGTCACAATGCTATGACATCGCTGCACTGCAAGTCTAATGGCAGTACCGTGTTCAGAGATGTACATTTTTCATTGAAAACTAAAGAAGAATGATTTTTGATGATAAATAGAATCTCATCCTCGTGTCTTTTCTGATATCAATTATATGTGACAGACATTTTTAATAGTTTCTTAAATTAGCGCAGCACAATATATACATGCACATGGCTTTGCATGACCAGTCGATCAATAGAACCGGGCCCATTCTATCACCTGTCTTGGTGAAGTAAGGGTCGAAGAGGTGTATTGGGCTAAGGAAAAACGCTATTCCTGGAACCAGTGCCCTCAACCACCAGAATCCTGTCCTCCACTGACACACGGGCGCAACCTTCGGCAAACTGGATGCCCAATTTTGTCGCCTCTCACAGCCAGCAATGGGGTGCTTCTGGACACATTCTACTCCAGTTGCACATAAGGGAGAGATATTAGTGTTACCCAAGACTCACCACGAGGAGGTTACTTTTCACGAGTGCCAAATATTAAGTGAAAGGCGACATCATACGAAAATAGTTAAGTTATGTGACGTGTTCGGTGTCTTTTGCTTGATGTTCAAAGATGACAGAGGGTTGTTCATGAAATGTAAGTGACCACAAACGTGATGTGACCATATTATGGTCCAACAGAACCATTCTAAACAGTCTGAGAGATGGGGGACGGACACTGCTCTAGTGCGGTTTGTATGAAAAGCTTGCGACCGTATTGGTTGAATGCCGATTCACGAAAAGGAATGTGTTTGTGGATTATTCCAGACAGGAAGTTTACGTCGCTGTTCGGAGCTGTGCAACGTCACAGTCAAGAAGATTTATAGTGCAAAAGCAAATCAAGAGTGGAAGAGAATACACCTTTTGGGCGATGTATAAGTCATCTAACAACGAGTTCCAATTTATGGTGGACTCCAGTAACGGTAAAGCGATGCACACGTGACACAAACAGAAACACAAATTTCACAATTAATGTTTGGCCTGGTAAAGCGAGCCATCGACCATTTGTCGTTATTTTCTTCATTTGGTAGGATGTACCTTAGTTCAAAATAACATAATTGGCATCTATTATCGCAGTAATTAATGATGTCGCAATCGGGATTATGAACGCCAACTGACATTTGGTAGCGTAGAGCAAGCAAAAATTTCTAAATATTTTGTTCCAAGTTTTTTTCAAGGTTTCCCAGCAGGCACAAGACGTCTATTAGACGTCTAGATGAAGTTTAGATCTGGTTTAGACGTCTAAAAACGTCTGTTAGACGTTGATTCAACGTATCCATTTCGACGTCTAAGCCTGTACGTTGATTATACGTTTAAACGATGTTTACGTTTTGACCAGTATCACTTTCAAGATTGTTGATTATAATTTATGCATATCTTCCAGAAACAATTCTTTTCTCATTGTTTTGTTGTAGTGCAGAAAATTTAAGTCCACAAAATGATATCCGAGCTTAGACATGGTGTTTGTAATAATACAAGTAATTAATTAAACGTTAAATAACTCCAATAAAATCAATTTAATTTTTTTGCCTCTTCAAAACATATTAATGATCTTTGTATGCGTTTGGAAAGTGAATTAAAAATATATTTTTAAATGTTTAATATATATTTATATAGTTTATCAGATCATGTAAGAAATAGTATCATGTGTTTTTAAAATCAACATTTTTATAGTTAATCGGATCATGTAAGAAATATTTTCCTGTCTTTAATTCAAATGCATTTCTGACATTTTCTTGTGTGAAAAGTAATTACAATTTCAACGAAGAGGTATCGATCCGAGTCGTTGCCATTCTGATTAGAATTATGCCCTTTGGCTTGCACCAGATGTCGCTACATTTCGCGCATGCGCAGCGCAGTTTTCGCGCACCACGATTTGAACAAGCTTGAAGACATCACCACATCAACGCCACATAGAAGAAGAAAGAAAGGTAGATTCTTTAATAATTTTGTCCGTGGAATATTGTTTGTGCGATTCTAGTGTAACAATTTGTGACTGTTAATCTCGAACTTTATAATTCTTGAGAACTTAAATTGCCCTGAAACCGCCCTTCAGCTGCTGCTGAAGTCACATGGAATAGGGCAGGGTCCGATGTTTTGCTTTTGTAATGTCAGCCATGTTCTGTAGATGATCGCCATTAATATTATGCAAGCTCTTCCTGGAATGGAAGTTGGATCATAATTTGCATGGCAGCCATGAGCACATGTAGCAATCTATTGACTTATCATTTGATTTGGATATCGAAGGTACTCTCTATGAAAATGTTTATCAAGCCATCTTGGTCCTCGCATGAAATTTTGAAAATAAGCTAGCAGTATACTCGACTCTCGCCATCATCGCGTATGGTTTGTGGGAAACATCGGTAAAGGGACGCTCCACGCCCTCTATCGGTAAATCTATAAAGTTTAATGAAGTCTCAGTTACAAACAGTCCGCGAGATCGCCTTTTGTCTACAGCACTAGGGTGCATGGTCTTGTTTAGATGTGAAAATAGATAGTTTGTCGCTGATTGAAAATTAGGTATTTCATGACATTATTTTGCTGAATGATTCTACCTAAAACAAATCAGTGAGTGTACAACATTTGATAAATATTTGGATATGAATGCATCTCTGGCATCCCAACTTTAAAATAATACATTAACCGACCCAACATTTTTGTTTTCACTAATGAATGTCAGACCTGTCTACAGATACTAAGGAATGAGTCTTGGTTTATTCTCATAAAACAAGATTGTACACTTCTAAACTTCCATGAATACACTTTATAAGTAAAGGATGTAGGCAGGTTTGACATTGAAGATGAGTTGTGCATGTGTTTGCATGTCCCCAAAACCAGTATATGCCTATTGTACCCCAAATATCCTGTAAAATGGAATTATTTCTCAAAACCATGAGGAATCATTTCACTTAATTACTTTATTCAATTTGATCTTTTCAGAGACTATAACAAACCTCATACAGAGTTACAGAAAACGATGTCTACCTCGAGATGGGGAAATTCCTAAAGAACGCCCTCTGGACGATGTGGCGGGTGGCAGATCAAAAGAATACTGATGCCCCGAATTTGTATTTATATGGAATATGAAATGAATAAACTTGAGTTTACATCATTTACAAATTTTGTCTTCTTTTATCAATTTATATGGAGATAATGCACTTGCGCTTATAAACTTCATGAGTTCAATTTCATGCTCAACTCAAGGTTCATGCTTAATTTGACTTCATGCTCGAACTTACTGCTGAAATTCAAGGTAAAACATTGAGCTGCATGAAATTGACCTCAAGAAGGCTTATAACCTGGAGCCCTGCCGGTGGGATAAGGACCGCATTACATGTTTGAAATGGCAACTTGTGTAGACAACAGGTATTCTATTTAGTAGAATAATAAAATGTGTTTTGGTGCACCATTAAAACAATACAGTAATTGGCATCTAATCAACATCATTTATACGCTTAGTAATTGACATCTAATCAACGCCTTTTATACGCTTTTCAACGTTTATGTGACGCTCTGTTATTGCTTGCATATGAATAATTAAAAATCAATGAATTTGTCATTTAATTCCACCTAGGTTTGTTGTACCATGCCGTCATATGATTCCGTGGTACTTATGTTTCCGTGGTATTTTCTAATGACATAATTTCTCACGAGCCACTTGCCAAATCGCGCCACCTATCGATTGTTTACGTTCATCAGTTGATCGGCATGGGTCTGAACAAAAAATGTTCAGACTTTCATCAATTTGCGTACAAACAGTCATCTACTATTAAAAACTAATGCAATTTTATGTCTAGTACGTAATGCAGTTTTTGCGCGATCTTTGCAAACATTTTCTATAAACTTACTCACCTTCAAAGTTTTCCAAACATCGCTCGTCTGCTAGATGATGTCATCAATAAAAACAATCACATGACCTAAGGGGGGAATCCCAGCTCTATTTTTTAAACCACAGAAGCCTGATAGGGTCATCTCTTAAGTTGTTTTTTCACTTTTCATTTCACGTATCCCGTATCAACTCTACATATTTTATGAACTGGAAATTTATGCTGAAGAAATGTGACTATTGTGTTAATTCTACAAAATCGTTTACTGTATAACAATTTATCCACTTCGATATTACTGTAAACCTACACTGACACTCCCGGATTGGCTGTTGACAACGTGTGAGATTGTGACATGTGCTGTGCGCCTGTAATTTGATCTGAAGGAAATACCACGGAAACATATGACGTCACCAGAATTTGTGCACAATGGCTGCCTGTCATCCGATACGGACAACAATGAACTTTAGAATGACAAAAGTGTTTTATTGACATTAAACAGTGTTTACGAATGGTGTTTCAAAGTAACAGGACATTGGGTCCCGTAAGTTTCAGATGTCTGTCTGACCCATTCAAAAGTCACAGGACCCATAGAATAAAATTAAACACACATTTCAGATTTAACATTTCTCATAATTGGCATTGAAATTATTATCAAACATAAGATTTATAAATGGCAAATAAGTGTCACATGTCACAACTTCAGTCAAAGTCATTGTGAAAAATACAGTCAGACACTGGGGCCGGCGGGTTGTAGACTTCTATCGGACCGTTGGCGAATCTGCCGGATTTGTCAAAGGGTCAGACGCTATTCGTGAACACTGATTAAATGATACAAAGGTATGTCGTCTAACACTATATTATGTTTATATGACTTGGCAATATGAGCGATCATATTCATAGTCGTAAATTTCGTAACGCGAGGGTAATTAAGAGACAAAGTAGTTGATTTTGTGTATGCAAATGAGGCCAATTTTGTTATTTCTCAAAAAACGTGACCCCAAGCTCCTGTAAGCTTACTGTTGAGATTTTCCATCAAAACCCTTCCCCATAAATATGTCCAAACCTTAAGGAACATAAGGGCAAACTATTTGAACATTGGGACGCACCTTCTGAATTTATATTTCACACTTTCTGAAGCATAATGCAAATAGACGGAACCAGTGAAATGAAAGGAGCTTTACCAACTTTTTTATTTATATCAAGTAACATTACAAACTGGAAACAAACACATTAAATATCGAAAACATTATATAATTAATAGTTTAAATCTAAATTTAGTTTCAGATTAATTTTCCTGCACGCGTTTGAGTAATTTAGTGTGTTCTTTTCATTTAAATTTATCACTTGGATATGGTTTCTCATTTATGGCATGAAAGCATCACAAGGGAAAAAATATTTGAACTTTAAAAATGTTCAGAATTAAATATATTAATATACATTGTGTTACCATCAGATATGCATCAAGACAATAGTCCCAATATGACTATAAGCATGTAGTAGTATATACAATGATAGTCCGAGATCACTTTCAAGAAAGGCCGCTGTAAAGCTTTATTTCATAAATAAAGCTTTTGTCAGGCCCTTAGATCTCGCCACCATCGTATATACTACTTTTGAATCCCCAGTTAACTTCCTGGTCACTATGACCGCGAAAACCAACACTTTCCTGATCACGTGGCACTATTGTGCCCGCCCTATGTTGTGTTGACCTCAATGAAACAGTTTAATGTGAATCGCCTATGATCTCTTTGGTGTTCGTAATGAAGGTGTTCGTAATGAAGGCTTGCTGGGCTTTTCGTACCCCTTGTTCTATGTACTTTTTTTTCTCGTCTTCGCTGATAGCAGACTTACGAGACTTGGACCGGATTTCTTGTTTCATCTTACGGTACTTTTCGTGTTCAGAGAGGATTGAAAGAAATTCCTCCTCTGAGATCTTACTGTCAGTGAGTGCCGTGGAAATACGCTCACTTACCGTGTTCAGCTTTGCTTCGGCTAGAACCCTGATCTCGTCGTGTTTCAACGCTTTACAATGCAGTCTGCTGGATGCAAACTTAAACACCAACCCTACCACCCCCACAACCCCAGCTGTTATTTCA